AGTTGACAAATTCCAAGGGTTAAACTATTATGGGTTTTTACCGATTTATAGAATTTGAAAATGTAAAAAAAATATGGTTATTAGACTTCTTCCATCGTCTGGTTGGCGGAGAGAATGAAGAAGAAATAATTTAAGGATTCGTAATACTTGTGGATGCATTTGTAAAGGTTTTTCCGTTAACAGGTTGGTAACGGTTCTAACAGTTTGTATGTTTAAATTTACGAAGCTTCTAGGTATAGCTAATAGTTCAAACGTACTAGTGAGTTTCTATATAAAACAATTCACTGAACCATAACTAAGTCAGAGCGATAACAGAAACCTAAACCGTAATCATATTATCACAAACAGAATTGAAAAAAGTTCTCTGTCATGAGGCCTATTTGTGAAGCTTTCAACAGGGGGGGGGGGGACAGGGTTAATTAAAAGGTATTCGGCACCTGTGTGGACACGAGCTCAAAATATAACACCTACACATTTCTGTGGGAATGGTATTAAAAACTTACGTAAAATGGTCTTTCTTTTTTACACTTGAATTTCATATACTTGTAAAATAGCCCTAAAAAAATATCTCGTGTAAGTTCCATGTAAATAAAAGCTAAGAATAATAAACAGTTTGATAGTTTTATGATGTAAATTGATGAGTTTAATCTCTTGTGACAATTAATTTCGCATCAGATGTAGTTAATTAGTCTTGTTTAGTGATACAGGCAGTGCCCAGAATACACAAGGTTCTATATATGATTCACGATGTTTTATAAAAATAGCTGTATAATGGATATAAAATATACTACCATAAACCTCATGTTAAAAAAAATCTTACAAATTCTTCTATATATTTTGTTTATATTTTATGAGCTCCAAATAAAATCTTGTATGGAAATGTTTACTACTAAGATGTGGATATTTAGTCACTTGTGATGAACTGTGACTGAGGTTATTCAGGTTATATTTGGGAAGGTCATAAATTATATAATATATATTGGTAGTATTGAAGTTTTAGGTTCAATATAGTGTTTTCTTGGAATTAAAAGATCAAATCCTTTCGTCAGAGCAAATACATCCCTGAAGTTCATATGAAAACAAAACCATCACCAGCAGAAGCGATCAACAGCGTCTGGTGATCTCCTTTTTGTCTGATCCTCCTGGGTGCTGGAGACGAGAGCTAGACGGAGGTGGTGGAGGGGTTGAGCCATGACTCCTCTCTCTGGTCTTCCTCTGATGCCGCCACGTCTCGGGGCCTCTCCCTCTTGCTGAGAGAGAGAGAGAGAGAGAGAGAGAGAGAGAGAGAGAGAGTTATAATTAAATCCCTTACCAAAATTCAAAATTCGTTATATATTTTTTTTAGGGGATCACGTTCTCCCATATATTGTTCTAAAAACTAAAGCAGAAATCTGATTGAGACCAACAGAGTTCAACTCCTTAAGTTCCAGACTTCTAACATAATATATATCTTTTCTCTCCTAATTAGTAACGTGGTCGCTTCCATTTACGGTAGAGTCTCATGTGAAGTTTTGACGTTCTGTTTTGGTCGCCATCTTTGTAGTTTAATTCAGTTAGATGCGTTTTCTTTTTACCCTAACTAGTTATGGGGAAACTATCCTATGTTCAATCCCCTTCCCTTCCAGCCATCCCGTGTGGTTACCTTAGAGCAGGACTTCGCCAGGCCTCCACGTCGTCCACGGTGTCAGGTAAGGTCTTGTCTTTGGTCTCAGGTAAAAGGCAGGTGAGTCCCCCGGCCACCAGACTCGCTAGGCCGAAGATGGTACTCGGGATGGCCCAGTGGTACAGCCCCTGGGGGAGAATGTTTTTGTCAATTGGTGTGCTTGAAGGACTGACATTTTAGATGGTCATGTGACGCCACCTTTAATGATGGGTTAGCTGAGTTGATTAAATTACCTATTTCAATATATTAATGAGCCCTGAAAAATACCTTAATATTGTCTTGATATTTTGGGCGAAAAAGACAGGGAACCAAAGAGGAAGAACTTATTATAAGATAAACTTTATTTAGATGAAAAATTAACTCATGAGTCAAGATATAATCCACATTAGTGTCTTATAAAAAAAAACATTATTAAAAGCTTCAACATAATTTCAAAGAACACTAAAGATCAACAAAGGTGAAATCATTACCTTGCTTACAATATCCCACACCAAGTTATCGCTACTTAACATGATAAGATACATGTATGAGGAGAACCAACAGTTACCTCTCGTGTTGTTTGTGACGTTATTGCTACAGTACACGACCATATAGTGTGTGTTAGTCTACGGGTCTCCTGGTTAAGTATTCGGTCAAGATGAGAGTTAGTTTGGTCCGCCTTAATTGATCTTTATTTATATTTAGCGAGTGAGTGATAATTTCAACACCTGAGTTTTTATACCTGTATTATACCTCATTTAAGAAACATATTAAACCTTAAACCTATAAAACTACCAGCTATAGGAGTCGTGTGTGTGTGTGTGTGTGTGTGTGTGTGTGTGTGTGTGTGTGTGTGTGTGTATTAGCTATAAGGGAAAGACCAAACAGCACGACACATGAGTTCATTTGTCTTCGATACAAAATTGTTACATAAAATCCAATACCCAGAGTTCACTTCACGTCCAAGCCACACTCGACCACGAAGAGAAAACGAGAAATAAAAATAAAAATAAATGGAAAAATCACAAGAAAAAATACATACAACATTTCACGAATTTCAGAATACATCGCTCACATTCTAAAGACTCCGGCTATTTCTTTTTTTTTCCTGAGAATTCTATCATGCATTTTATATGAATAATTTTGCATTCTTAAAAAGGATTTCCAGAATAATACTGTATTCATAATCGGATTTTTCCTCTGAGGTAAATCGGCCGCTCATCCAGAAACCTCAAACACACACACACACACACACACACACACACACACACACACGCACACACACACATACACAACCGACAGGGATTACAGTGTCTTATGGAGATGGGATAAATAACAACACGAGGCTGGGAGTCAAGCGCCCAGAAACTGAAACATTTCAGATGAACCTCTACTAATTCTCAGCTGTTTTCAGGCACATTAGGTGTTAATTATTGTCTAAAACTTTGAAATAAAGCTACGAACTAAATGCAAGAAAGTATACCCTTAGCTTTTACCTTTATACCTGGGAAACAATAATTATTTACCGTTACAATATTCCAGTGACATTTTAACAAGCTAAGCCTAGACTATATAAGTACACGTTTCTGTTATGGCTTCACGAGTTTCACTGTATTCACTTTTTAATATTAACATTCTCTCAGCTGTCAACACATTTAAGGAACCTAAACTTGAGGACGAGCAAAAGTTTACATTTCAATATCAAGATGACACATTCCTTGATATGCATTTGGTAGGTCATAATCTAAACAAAATGAACTTTCTCAATTTTTATATACAACTCGAAAAGAACTTCTTAGAGTGAGTTCTAACATGCATTTGTACTGTATGTGTTTTACTATATAGAATAAATTACATGTACAGTATATAAATATAATAAATGGATGTACCTCAGCAGTGAAAAATAGTACTTATGATTTTCTTCAATTAAAAAAAACGAATCATTGTTAAACTGACTGTTTTCTTCTCCATAAGAATATAACATCAATGCCTAATGCTAGACAACACTTTATGAATGCACCAAGGGCAAAACTGTATTTTTTAAAGAACAGGGAAAAAATAGTTTACCCTCCATAAATAAAAAAAAAACGTTCTCTAAAATAAATACCATTTGTACAGACACTGGAAAGGTGAGACTCTTGGTAACTCCAGTTTCATGCTGGTAAAGTTTTAGGTCATGACTACTGGCTGGCGAGACGAAGGACAACACGGAACATATCACAATTAGGATAAAAATAAACAATTTGAATTAAAGAGGAGACATAAGAAGGACGTATGACTGGTAAGCGAGATGAAATTGACGTTTGAAGACCACATAAACGATACAATTCCCAAAGCGAGTACAGTGATGGGTTTGGTCTGACGATTATTGACCATCTTCATATAGATATCTTAAGACGGTTTGGAGAAAGCAGAGGAGGAGGAGGTCAATAGTGTAAGGCAGGATACATAGGGAGTAACTGAGATCTTAATAACATGATACAAAGGAGGTGTTGAAGAGGGTAACGTGACCACCACTGACACCACCAGTACCACTGACACCACCAGCACCACTAACACCACTATCACCACCATCACCACTGACATCACTATAACCACCAGAGATCACTGTTTTAAGTTGTTCCAGGCACCAAGACCCCAAGCTCAGAGGAAAAAAATTACTCCCTGTGTATTGTGGACCTGAGGTGGTCACGTCTCGAGACGAGTTAAACTTCGAGGAGAGAGACAAGACAAGAACTCACCAAGGACTAGACAGGTTTAAGATGGATTGATTACAGATATCTTACTCTGTTCTAAAGCCGCTATAGTCAACCCCACTATAACGTCAAGTACCATAGAGAAACAGATGAAGAGCTCAATGCACAGGTGTAGAGGATTTGTCCAGAAAACGATATTTATACCTTTACATCCAAGCTCTCTGCCTAACCTACACTGTTAAGCACCATACGAAGGCCTTGGGAATTAGCTAAGACACGGATACAGTTACTATGTTTAGTGTCTTGAAGCTCATCTTAAATCTTACAATGTTGAGGTCATGATCTTCTAACCTCTCTGACACCCACTTACGTCATCTACGAGGATATTCAATGGTCCTAAAACTGTCCAGGTAAAGGAGTAATTTTTAGCATCGTTAATGAGTCTCGGCCCACCTGTTGACTCACCGTATGTGTCCCAGGTTATATCGGGATTATTATAATCTAACCTAAAATATTTCCTGAACTTTACTACTAAATGAAAGTGTGTATAATAATTTCCCTATTTTCCCCAAGATTAGTTTTTTGAGGGTAAGAGGTTAATTTAGTCATTTTCTTCACCTGTTACAATGATTTTAATATTTAACAATGTACATTATATCCCACCAGTCTTTAAGATAATGGTAGCTCTGAATATTAGTCTCCCTCTAGTGTATTCCTTGGGGGTCTAACCAACACCCAAACGCGAACCAAAACAAAACCTAACCTAACCTAACCTAACCTAACTTAACCCATCTCTCCTCCTTTCCTATTTTATACTCTCCCTCCCACCCTCCATCCCTCATTTACTCACTAGCATATCATTGATGAAGGGAGATATGATGGAACCTATCCTGCCGACCATTGAGGACACCCCTAAGCCCTGGGTCCTTAGACAGGTCGGGTAGAGTTCGCTGCTGTAGAGGTAGACGACCTGATAAGCGGAGGTGATGAAGAATTTGCCCACCATCACTATCGTCATAAACCACCATCTCTCGCGGTCTGGAAAATGACAAACAGAGATAAAGGTTCGATTAGGTTAGGTTGGGTTGGGTTGGGTTGGGTTGGGTTGGGTTGGGTTGGGTTGGGTTAGGTTGGGTTGGGTTGGGTTGGGTTGGGTTGGGTTGGGTTATGTACGTTACTGTATGTAAACAAAATATAAGTCGAGGTTCTAGAATGATAACAAACAAGGGGGTCGGTCTGCAACGTTCTTAAGTAAACACTAGAATGCAAACAAAACATAAACATCTATTAAGAGTATTCCTGAATGTGTGTACTAAGCATAAGCCTCACACTGTTCTTCTCTCGTGTACAGAATAAGAACAACATGATCAAAAGAGAATTGCTGTAAAACGAAGACAAAAAATCTCCAACTTCTGTGCTTTTGAAGAATAGGAACAAAAGCCATCACCAGAAAAGTGAAAAAAAAGACGAAAAAAGAAAAAAAAGTTGACTACAAGGGTCTAGAGTTTCCCCGTCGTCATGGAGACACAACTGACCATAAAATACAAAGGGGGAAAATACTGATCTATCGAGTTTTACCACACACACACACACACACACACACACACACACAAGGACGGACGGGCTTAGTACTATATCCATACTTTCTACTGTGAAGGCAATGAGAGGACAGATTCGAAAAACAGAACTAAATACAAAAAGGAAATAAAAAATAGCTAAGAAAACAGAGAAGTCGAGGCCGTAGATAATTCCAGGACACAAAGAGGAAGAAAAAGTGAAGTAATTGGGTAATTAATCTGATAGCCGACAAAGACAACGAAGAAAATTCTATTTGTGAAAGTTAAATGTTAATGTGGGAAAATTGTCATTTGAGAGAGTCGAGTTAGAGCTAATGAGAGCCAACTTGGGGAGAGTTAATATTACTGGTGGTAGTATGTCATTAAGGTACACAGAAGGAGGCTTAATGACTTCAAGGAAACTCTCAGTGATAGCGGATGTAAACTAATTAGGACGAGTTACCCGCCAGTAGATAATTTGCATTAGTTTCTATACACGTCTTAACTTGTTCTTGTAAACACTTTGTAACTAACTAATTGTAGCAATGCGTGTGTTTTAACCATAAACTAAATTAAACCCTTCGAGTCTGCTAAAATATACAAACATAAGAACATAAGAACATAAACATTTAAAATATAATATCTTTTACTGAAGAAACTCTCAATATATTAGCAAGAATAAAGTAGGTTATAGTAGGTTTAAGAGTAACTGCCATGAGGAGGCCTGACTTGGGGTTATAAAGCTCCTGAGAGATAAACTCAGTGGGATCAGGCTCCAAACATTACTTTCGGTCATTTATCTTATTTCTTTAACAATAACTCAGTAAATGTTGCAGTTATTAAATGGTAAACCGACTGAACCCCGTGAGTATGCCTTAACCCCTTGAGTATGACTTAACCCCTATGAATATAATGACTTAACCCCTTGAGAATGATGACTTAACCCCCATGAGTATGATGAAAAAAATAAAAAATGTTTCGCTTTAATTAAAATAAACCATTTAACTGTATTCTCACACTCTCACTTAAGGGGAATATCATGAGAATCTTTTAAGACTCTGGAGCGACACCATCCACGCATCAGACACTCGCTTAAAAGTTTACTCGTATTCTTACTTTCTCTCAACAACAACAAACGTACTGTATTTACAAAGTCTTATATTTATGAGTTACAAACACCTACTTACATCAAAAGCTTTCTTCGCCTCCATGCCCAAGAATTAAAAATATGTGCTTATAAATATTAAATGATGTTGTTTTGTCATTTAATTTTTTCCAGTCTCAGAAGGTGAACAACTTATATATGAGGTGTTTATAAAGTTGTCTTTGATGGCGGCAACATGAAACAGCCTTCACTAGTAAACATAAGTGACAATGAGTGTAAGAGCGACCCGCATCCCACCTCACGGTGAGTAAAAATAATTATAGCCAATGACTGGTGTGTATATAGACAGGCGGGAAGACACATACGGAATGGCATGATGACACGTATGGTAGAGGTGGACACATATGGTAAGGGGATGACAGGATACATAAAGAACTTTACACACCACGAATCCTGATAGTGTGAAGAACTCCATCGACTCACCGGCAGGCAGCAGCAGAAGCACGAGGATGGCCACCCCACAGAGGACGAAGAAGGTGACGAGAGGGATCTTCCTGCCGTACCTAGCCACGAAGGGGATGATGAGGGTGTAAGAGGGCAGCTCCATGAGGCCCCCCAGGAACATGTACAGGAAGGGATCCATGCTGCAGGGAAGGAGGTAAGTAAATGACCATCAGATGTTAGTATATGACACCTGAAGAAGACCCTCTGATCTCGGTACCTACTTGAAGTTGGCTGAGTTGAGGGAGATGCCGTAGTAGACTAAGGTGCAGGTAAGCCAGTTGAAATACATAATAAGGGAGATCCTCCTCAACATTGGGGTCCTCACGAATACCAGCAGCTGCCTAAACACTCTCCTGAGGGAGGCCAGACAGGAAGAGGACCTACCGCCCCCTGTTTCTTGTTGCTCCTGAACGTCCTGGCTACTGCTGTCTTTGTTCTCTGCCTGAAGGAGAAGATTCAAGATTAAACAGTAATAAGATCTATTTAGCTGTGTTAATTCAGCTCAATTCCCTCTTCTTTTAACCTGACTAAGAATGTTTTTCCCGCGTGAGGGAGTTTTAATTTTCAAGTGTGGCATAACGCAGATGATGACATATTCTCTGCTACTTTCCCTTTTTTATGTAAATACTTGTAGCATAAACTTCATTCTCTCCAGTTCTCACTCCACCACTCCTCCCTTTCACTTCATCCTCATTTTCTCTCTCCTTTTCCTTCATTTCTCTCACCTCTCCTTTCATTTTTTCTGTCATCTCTCTATTCATACCATTCTTTCCCTGCAGATGTCACACCTATCCGTCCTAAACCTTCAACCTCATTTCTTCTTCCCAGTTCCTCTCCCACATTATCTCTCTTTTCCTGCACCACGTCTATCTTTCTTTCCTATATCTGCACACCTCTTTCTTCTTCCCCCTGCACCTTTCCCCTGCATTGACTCTCTTCCCCTGCACCTTTCCCCTGCACAGTCTCTCTTCCCCTGCACCTTTCCCCTTCAACTTTCCCCTGCACCTCTCACTTCTCTCCGTCCCATCTCTCACAAGACTACTTCCTGGGGGACAGGGAAGGAGGCAGGGTACAAGGACCTCGTCGCCTGGCGGTATCGACTTCTGTTACTAGATAACTTCGTGGTGCAAAATATGAATTCTCAAAAACTCCTTCGTTAAATTTCTCCTACGATTAGATTCTTAACACATTTTGGACACCATTCTATTTCGATATTTTTCTTTTGTCGTATCCTAAAGTGAGCCAACTAGATGGGTTCTCATTTCATCCATTTTTGAGAGAAATTTATACTTCAAGACTGGCAATATGATAAAGGAGAAAAACCCAACTGTGGCAGGATTTTAATGTACATAATTTATCTTCATCCAAACACACACACGCTTATGATTACTCTTATTACTAACACTTTGAGTACAATAAAATACACCCAATGAGTACAGTTTTAAAGACAGAGAACTAATTTGACAGGGAGATGTGTGGGTGGACTGGGGGTTAGTGGTGGTGAACATCTTCTGTCACTTTAAGCGGGGCGGGTCGGTTGCATTTTCAGTCTCTATGGAAGCTGGGTATACATGTTTCATAATTAATCTAATTATATCTTACGTTGATGTAATATAATCTAAAGATATAAGCACCAGATGCCTCCAGCCTTCATTGTATTATTCTTAAATTAAACTTACTTTGCATAACAGGATATTTAAATTAAACATGAAAGTTCTCGCAGAGGTTTCTTACCCGCCAGACAACAGGAGGCGAGAGGATGTGGGAGACGCTCATTAGTCTTGTATGTGTGTGTGTGTGTGTGTGTGTGCGTGTGTGGCAACTCGTTCATAGATGGTGTCGTAGTAACTCGTTCATTGCATGGCGTCGAGCATCACTGTATCTCTCTCACTGTCATGTTGTGTTATGGGAAGGTCAACATTTGCCCAATCCTGGACCGTTCCCAGCGTGGACGGGATTAGCATTTTGTCGCCTGGTCAGCAGTTGGTGGTTCACACGGGCGCTATTCTCTGGGTTTCCTAGAACCTTACTGGTCGATGTGAAGGTCAACTTGGCCACAACTTCAGCAGATGTTACGGTTTACCATTGATTTCGCAGGTGTTAAGCACTGTTTATCACTGTTTATAACTGTTCATCACTGTTCAACGCTGTTTCAACTCCTTTCTTAAGTGGTGAAATTGTCACTTTTGGCGGAAATTTAATGGATGGGAGAAGCAAAATGAATACACCTTGTTTGTAAAGAGTAAAGGCGAATACCATTAATTGATGTAATTTGTCATATAAAAAGCGCAATAAAAAGCGAATTAATTGCTATATTAATGCCAACAATAATCAAGTTAATAAAACCAATTAATAAGCGAGTGAAGTCTTCTAGTACTGATAGGAAGCCAGCAACACTTTCCATTGCCCTACTAATTAATCACAGCAAAAGCCCTACAACATGTACCTGGTGTTACTCAGTGGCTCCAGCTCTCGGTAGTGACGGGATTATTTTGAATTTATCACAAACATATAAACTGGAACACGACTTTGACGTTTGAAGTGTAACGTTATTTAATCCCAATATAAAGAGCTTCACAGAGAAACGTTGTGTTGTAGAGTAATGTTTGAGGGAGTAAAGGACTCGTGTGTTTGATCAGTAACTTGGGGAAAATAAAAATTGGCAAGTTTGATAAAGATCGTCCTGACAGTCCAATAACATACACGGTTACCTCTCTGGGAAGTCGACACATGACACTTAATACAAAATAACAACTATTGATTTAAGGTCAAACGACTGTGAGAAGATTAATTAATATAGGAAAATGAATTAGTAATTTTTTTGAGGGTTTCGTTGTATGATGAAGGAATAGAAAACGACAGACACATGAAACCCGAGACTTAATTTGACAGAATAAAGTGAATCTCGAGGCTGTGTTACGAGACAGGGAATTAAAGGTGATGCCTCAGGTGGCCGTGTCAAGGTATAGTGGTCATTACCTCTACTATACTATATACTGTACTCCATTACCGCATTAAGGCAAGAATGTCTATGTTTACAGAGTTATGGGGAATAGGTGAGATATAAATAACTCTCTCTCTCTCTCCTTTTATCCATCTTTCAAAAAAAAAAAAAAAATGAATCATCGAAAAAATGTCCGAATTTCAAATGGATTGTTACATTGTCTACACTGTGTTACCTAGTAGTGAAGATATAAGTGAGTACATCTTCCATCCATTGTCCAGTACATGTAATCTGAGTGTTACGGTACTCAAAAGGAAAATGTACAGTACTGTTTATAGACTGTAATTGTACAATAAAATGCTGTACACCATCCTACACACCCCTCCATACTCCTTAGCTGTACAAAGAAATACTAATATAACGTAAGGACTTTAGTTTTCAATAATATGTTTCACCATTAGACATACTGTATAACTTGACCTCACTTCAAGTTTGCTTTTAAGGAAACTCTCCAGAGCTCGTCTACAGATTTAACTTACTAAGAGACTTTAGTAAATATATACATCTGTTATACATCACTTGAATCTTCCTCTTTGCTCTCCTGCATCTGTTAACATGCATGATATATCTCTGAGATGGAAGTTTACCAGTGCAGCTGTGACAGAAAATAAGCCTTGTGTCGTAAGAAATCACATCCTCACAGTAAAATAAACTCGTCGACTCTTCTACATACAACATCACATAACCTTATACCAGAGACACGAACCCTGGCTCTTCAGGAATAGTGGAAGCCAAGGAACCATAAGCAATTATTTCCATGACATAAAACCTCCAGTACACATTATCACGATAAGGATACGAACCCATGTACCTCAGGACTGTTAGAAACCACAGCACTTCAGTAATTAAATTCATAACGTAATATAGCTTTTTGTGTATCTAGCAGCCACTACATAATGTAAGGAGACGTGTTTGACTGTTGAGGTGGGAGTGACAGAGAGGCAGCAGGTGTCCCACAGATGTGAGAATAATACAGGGGTGGTAGGAGCAGAGCCTTATATAGCACCAGGTCACGAGAAAGTGTAGGAGACAGGTGGTGTGAGACAGGTGGTGTGAGACAGGTGGTGGGAGACAGGTGGTGTGAGACAGGTGGTGGGAGACAGGTGGTGGGAGACAGGTGATGGGAGACAGGTGATGGGAGACAGGTGGTGGGAGACAGGTCACAGGTCACAGGTCACAGATTTTGGTAATATTCCTAAGTTACACCAAAATCGGGCCAGGTGTCCGGGGTAAACATGCACACTCTACTCAAAATTTTACCTGAATATTACTCTACTAATTAGATTTCAGGGCACGTCAACCTTAATATGTAATCAATCCGTCATCCTATGTTGCAGGAGAGAGAGAGAGAGAGAGAGAGAGAGAGAGAGAGAGAGAGAGAGAGAGACACACGGTGGTCATTGATTTGATAATACGACTCACAAACAGAACAGAGATAAGCATGAGTCTTAGAGAAAAGTAGACAACGCCACTCACAAGCGGAGAAAAGAGAAAGAACTTGATTTATAAAGATATACCATGAAGAACATAACTCGCAAAGAGAAGGCAGCGTAGATCACGTCTCATAAAGGGAAGAACACAACTCAAAAGCTAGAATATTGGAGAACACGACTCACAAAACCTAGAACACTGGGTAACACGACTCACAAAATCTATAACACTGGAGAACACGACTCACAAAATCTACAAAACTGGGGAACACGACTCACAAAACCTAGAACACTGGCGAACACAATTCATAAAAACTAGAACACTGGAGAACACAACTCACAAATCTTAGATCCTAGAAATGATGGAAAGGTTCAGAAGCTTAGTGGTTAACTCAGCGGGGTCCGGTTTATAAGCTGGAGTGACAGTAAGGGACCTGACGTGGTGTAGTAATTCCGTCACAGATGGTGTTATGAGGGGGCCTCACGTGGTGTAGTAATTCCTTCACAGATGGTGCTATGAGGGTCCTCACGTGGTGTAGTAATTCCCTCACAGATGGTGTGATGAGGGACTTGACGTGGTGTAGTAATTCCCTCACAGATGGTGTTATGAGGGACATGTGGTGTAGTAATTCCCTCACAGATGGTGTTATATGAGTGAGGTTTGGTCCCAGGCCTTCCTATCGTAGACGGATTAACACATCGCTGGTTATCACGGGCCGTTATCACTGGGTACCTGGGACCTCACTGTGTGAAGGTTAACTTGGGTACGACTGTTACTATGGAGTTGTTCTTACTTTTACTTTTATCCTCTTCGCCGCTGATCGGCTTGTTAGCCGCTTGGGCGATCGGTCACGACTCTTTTCCTTTATATTCTTCACCAAAAGGTCGGCTCGCTAGCCGCCCGGGCGATCGGTCACGTCTCTGTCACGCACTGTTGGCAAATACTGGGCATGCACCGGCTCCTGAATGTACCTGAACCCGCTCCAGTGTTGGTCAAGTCTTCTCTTGAAAGAGCTCACACTCGGTGCCGTCACAACACTCTGGTAGATTGTTCCAAGAGTTTACAACCCTCACTCCGAAAAAGTTTGCCCTCACGGTTTTCCGGACTTGCGGCTTCTTCAATCTTGAGCTGTGACCCCTTGTGGGGCGAGCGTCCGCCAGCTCCAAGTAAGGACACTCAACTGAGTAGTGCCCCCTGAGATGCTTATAAACCTCAACTAGGTCCCCCCTTGCCCGTCTGTAGTATAAGCTAGGCAAGTTCAGGCGCTCCAATCTCTCAGGGTAGCTGAGATGCCGAAGTGCAGGCACCAGTTTGGTGGCCCTCCTTTGAACATTTTCAACCAACTGACAGTCCCTAGCATATCTCGGGGACCAGATGGGGTGACAGTACTCCAGATGGGGAAGCACTTCACTCCTGAAGATCGTCACGAGGGACGGACCGTCTAGATATCTGAACGACCTTCTTATAAGACCCAATAATTTATTTGCCTGATTTACCTTCTTCTCACAATGGCCCGAGAACTTCAGCTCATTGTCAACATACACACCTAGGTCCTTCTCACACACAGTCTCAACTAGTACATTTTCTTCATCCTGTTGGGACATATGGTACGCCTCCTTACCGTTGGTACGCCCCAGGTGCATCCTCTTACACTTCGTGACATTGAATCTCAGCAGCCATTCCTTCGACCATTCCTGGAGCCCACAGAGGTCCTTCTGCAGCTCTTCACAGTCCGCTTGGTTCTTAATTTCCCGAAATAACTTGGCGTCATCGGCAAACATTTGTATGGAGGAGTGTACAACGTCAGGCATATCATTTATGAAACAAACAAACAACAGCGGGCCCAATACACTACCCTGCGGTACCCCACTTGTTACAGGTACAGATGACGATTTCGTGCCATTAATCACCACACATTGCTTGCGGTCATGTAGAAAGTCTTCTATCCACGCTAGGACATTTCCCCGAATTCCGTACCCTTCCAGTTTGATTTTCAGCCTTTCGTGGGGTACACTGTCGAAAGCCTTGGCAAAATCTAGGTAAATATTGTCGATATTACCACCCCGTTCTAGAATATGGGTCCAAATAAACACTGACTTAAGCACTTAAGTGTGTGTGTGTGTGTGTGTGTGTGTGTGTGTGTGTGTGTGTGTGTGTGTGTGTGTGTGTGTGTGTGTGTGTGTGTGTGTGTGTTTTAATAAAGTCTATATATGCAATATTATCTCGCGTTGAACATGTTTGAACAAAATTAAAATTGCTATAACACACACACACACACACACACACACACACACACACGCAAAACCTTCGTGAAAAGTGAAACAAAAACTTCTATTTTCCTCCGACTATTTTATTTACCGATCAAAAGTTTGTAAGGAGGTACACCCCTTAATGTTGTCCGCCCGACCGTGTAAAATTTAGTTTCCAGTAGATAAACTTTATAAGACTTCCACGATTTAACTTGGGTGTTATGGCAGAGTCTTACCAAGCCTTATAAATTAGAGTCTTATAATTTTACAGTTATAAATATTTCAGGTGGTTAGATTAATGCGTCCTTGTAATTTATTAGTCATATGAATGATTACTAATATATGTAGAGACATTTCAAGTATAATATAACAATATATACCAAAGAGACTTAAGTACTTTTCTTATGTAATTTTCGTTCTTATATGTGATTGGATCCGTCACGCCTCAAGTCACACACACACTGTACCTGGCACATGAACTTCCTCTACTACCTGTGTTTTAGATCAGGTGAGTTAATGACGTATTGAGGGCTGAATCGACTTTGAGTACACAAAAGGCAGATGTGTATTGCTTGAGGGACTTGGGTTTAGTTTGAGTCTTTATTAATTGTACCTGTTACTGAAATAAGCTTAATTCAAGACTAAACTGTACCTTCACAGACCAATTAGCTGAATTTCTTTATTAGACACAATCACGTGAAGTGTAGTTGTTGAAGAATGCGAGTCTTAGTTAAGGTATATTCTAGGGACTTTAACAGTTATTGATTATGTACTGAATGGTTTTGTGATTAGGCTGTGTAGTGTTATGTTTAAGTGATATTAAAGAGTGGATAATATAATCAGTTAGTCAAGCAAAACAAGTATCTGACTGATCACCACTACTCCACGATCTTGATTAAGTGTTGATTAGTTTGGGTAATAAATGAGTTCTCTATTTTTTACGTCGTCATTGCATAAAGGAGATACAACACAACCTCGGTGGGTAATAGTTTTAACTTTATACAGTAATTCGTATTAATTTTCCACGCTTTAACATTAAGATATATTTTCATAACATATTCCTGGACCGAGAAGTGAAGCACAAGCATTTCATACATTCCTTTGCAGTTTAACAAGAATGTTGAAGCATGTACAGTACAGTATTCATCTGTTTGTAAATGTGATTCTTCAACAGGTGGTCATTTCCGGCTTGAAGTTCAATCCCTCCAGACAGAGTAAATCCTTCACGTTCAGGAGATAGTCCCAACCATGGGCACTATTGTGAGCTTCTTCCTGAATCCTTCGGGTTTTGTTGAGGGTTGTGATGATAAAGGAATTGGAGGAATGTTAAATGATGGAGGAAATGACACAAGACAAGGGGCGGAGGACTGGGTGAAGATGTTTTTTTTTAGTTTAACAAATTTATTGGCAGAGCTTGTAGTACAGTTTGCCTATTATGAGTAATTCAGTCAGGTCTTGACACTGAGGGTGGTATCACTTCTCACTGCCACGCAGGACGGAGGTTCATACATAAAGAAATACATCATATTCATTAACAGCTATATACAGTATATATAGAGGTCAGATTCATGTGGGTAATGTCACTGTTCACTGCCATGCAGGACACTTAACTACTACTACTCATTACTACTATTACTATTATTATTATTACTTAACATTATTATTATTTATTATTATTATTATTATTATTTTACTACATTATTATTATTATTATTATTACTATTATTATTACTACTATATTAATATTATTATTATTATTATTATTATTACTATTATTATTATTATTACTATTATTATTATTATTATTATTATTATTATTATTATTATTATTATTATACTATTATTATTATTATTATTATTATTATTACTTATTATTATTATTATTATTACATATTATTATTATTATTACACACCCACACCACCACCACCACCACCAACCAACCCCACCACCACCACCACCACCACCCCACCAACCCACCACCCACCACCACCAACCACCACCCACCACCACCACCACACCCCACCACCCCACCAACCACCACCCACCACCACCCCACCACGACCAACCCCACCACCACCCCACCACCACCACCACCACCACCACACCACCCCACACCCCACCCACCCACCACCACCACCCCCACCACCACCACCACACCACCACCCACACACCACCACCACCACCAACACCCACCACCACCACCACCACCCCACCACCACACCACCACACACCACCACACCCCACACCACCACCACCACCACCACCACCACCACCACCCCACCACCACCCCACCACCACCAACCCCACCAACCACCACCCACCACCACCCACCACACCACCCCACCACCACCACCACCCCACCCCACCACCCCACCCACCCCACCACCCCACCAACTCCCACCACCCCACCCACCACGACCACCCCACCACACCACCCCACCACCACACACCCCACCACCACCCCACCCCACCAACCCACCACCCAAACACCCCACCAACCCCACCACCACCACCCCACACCCCACCCCACCACCCACCCCACCACCCCTGACCTCACCACCACCTCACCACCCACTGACCTCACCTCACCACCACCCTCACCACCACCACCACCACCACCACCACCACCACCACCACCACCTCACCACCACCACCACCACCACCACCACCACTCACCACCACCACCTCACACCACCACCACCACCACCACCACCACCACCACCACCACCACCACCACCACCACCACCACCACCACTCACTACCACCACTCACCACCACTCCATCACTACCACTCACCACCACCACCACCACTCACTTCACCACTACCACCACTACCAACACACACTACCACTCACTACTCACTTTTTTTTTTTTTTTTTAAACGCATCTGTACCCCCCATGTTTCCACAAAAACTTTCGCCAATTTATTTACCTTTTAATATTAACATCCCAATACATAAGCAACCATCCCATCTGTGTTAATTAGTTGAGTCGCAGATCGATGCGCATCTGTGACTGTAGCCTCATAGTCGATCTGTTGACGGAGTAGGCAGAAGCTCTGTTCCCTGAGGCAGAGCAAAGCCGACCGAAGGAGAGAGAAGGACAGTCGACATCTCATCCAGGCTGTGACATAACTTCTGGGCTGCTGCTTCTGTTCGGAGATCAGCTCCATGAGTCTGGCGTAGAAACATCTTGCGCTTTGGGCCCATCCCACCAGAGGTTGTGAACACTAGCGGAGGAAGCTGCCTTGA